ATGGTCTCACAGCTCCCCATGTTGCTCCATCACAGCACTTATCACTCCAGAAGACAATATACCATAGTGGTCATTAACACAGGCTTCCTAAGTCAGACTACTAAAATCTAATCCCTGCCATGCCACTTACCAACTAAATGAACTTGAGCAAATTATTTAACTTCTCTGAGCCTCACTTTCCTCATCTATAAAACAGGGATAATAATACTTTGTAAGGTTATTGCAAGGATTAAATAAAATAACTTTTTTGAAAAGTACCTGATACATAAGTGATCTACCATTATTTAAATAGTAGCTACTATTATCATCTATTTTATAATTTTCTCATCTGGCTCTCCCATCAGACATGTGGGATGGATAAGGATCTCATTTGTCTTTCTATTTCCAGTACTTGGGCAGAAACAGGTATATAGTAAGCCCTCCAGAAATGTTTGCTGAACTAATGATGCAAAGATGAATGAGTGGATGGATGGGTGGATGAGTGGATGGATGGATAAATGATTTGGGTGGGTTTCTGGGCTAGATGGATTGATGGATTGTTGAGTGGATGGATGGATGGATGGATGGATGGATGAGTGGATGAATTAGTTTATGAGGTGGATGGATGAATGGATTGTCAGGTGAATGAATAGGTGGATGGGTGAGTTTATGAGCTGGGCTAGATGGATGAGTGGATGGTCAAATGGATGGTTAGATATACAACTTGGTTCTGTTTAAATGGTATGGAACAAAGAGAAGCTGTGGCTGAAGTCAATCTTGTCAGCCTGCTGAAAAGAAGTTTCCGCAGTATGTGATTTATTAAGTTTGGGGTTGTTGTTTTTTCTAAGCACAGCTGTCTTCCTGCTCAGGATTTTTGATCCCAGGCAATATGTTACTTGCAATATCACTGCACCCTTGTAAATTTAGACCTTCAGTAAATCTTCTTTGAGGCTTAGGGGAAACACACACGTATACTGTGTGTTTTGGTCACAAAGTAAAGAACTTTGATCCCTGACCTGGAAGATTTTGCAATTTAATTGGGAAAAGATTCTCAATTAATATAAGGTTGTCAGTTACCATCTTTCTGGAGTTGCCTTGAAGCTAGATCAGGGATGGCACTGGCATTTGGTGATATCCAGGATGTCAGAAAAACTATGCGGAAGAGGATGTCTTTGGTTTGAAGGTTAAGAAGGAAGTGTATTGTCATGAGGAGGGGGTCCAGGGAGAGATGAATCCTGAATGTTAAGAACAGAAAAGTCAGAGAGTCTGGAAAGTTGAGTCAGACTGGGGTCCAAGAGGAGGTATCTGTTGACAGCGTGGAAGCCACCGGCTCAAAGTGGAGGCCCTGCAGTTGGTCCAAAGATACACGAAACCTTTGACCTGGTGAGGAGTCACTGCTTAAAGCCTCAAATTATTCAACCAAAAATGAAAATAATAATAATACTTCCTCTACAGGGTTATGGGGAGGATTAAAGATATAAAGAGTTTGGCATATCAGTGCCTGACTCACTGTATTGCTCAAGATACATGTTTCCTCCCTTCTTTGAAGACAGCACAGGCTAGTGGTCAAGAACATGAGATTTAGATCCATCTTGCTTAGGTTTGAATCTGGCTAGTATCTGTGTGATCTTATGCAACCTGCTTAACCTCCCTGGCCTCGGTTTCCTCATCTGTAAAATGGGGATGATGATAATATCTATCTATTTGGGCAGCTGAATATATGAGTTAATGTATGTTAAGAACTGAGAACAATGTCTGACACATAGTAAGTGCTACATAAGGGCTTTTTATTATTATTTTACTATTTTTAATATTCCTGAGAGGTGAACATTTTGTTCCTGGTGACCCCAGGTGAGAAGCAGCAAATCTTACATCTGTGGATGAATAAGTATGTAAACTACCCCTTACTAAGCCCTACTATATTCCAAGTGTTTAGATTAATGTGATCTAATATCAACAGAGGATAATGTAACTTACATAAAATAACATATATTATAAATCATATGTAATTTGTATATAATTTAGAGCAATATAATTTAATGTTAATGCCCACTATGACTCTTGGAAATAGGTAATTATTGTCCCCAACCTCAAGATAGAGAAACTGAGAGCCAGAGATGTTTAGTGACTTGCTTAAGGCCATGCAGTTAGTAAGTGGTGGTGCTGGGATGCTAAGACTCATCATATCTCCACTCTTCAAAGCTATTCGAGTTGGAAGTCATCTGTGCCATCCACCTTGGTGCATGGATCCAGGAAACAAGTCCACAGGGACAGGACGGACCAACTTGCCCAATGTGTCATAGTGAGCAGGTAGAAGATTTAGGATCAGAACACTGGCATCTTGGTTCTCAGCCCAGTTTTTTTTTTTTTTTTTTTTTTTTCCAAATTGTGCTTTAAGCGAAAGTTTACAATTCAAGTTAGTTTCTCATGTAAAATTTATACACACATTGTTATGTGACCCTAGTTGCTCTCTCTGTACTGTGACAGCACACTCCTTCTTTCCACCTCGGATTTCCCGTGTCTATTCAACCAGCTCCTGACCCTCTCTGCCTTCTCATCTCGCCTCCGGACAGGATCAGCCCAGTATTCTTGACAATATGGTGAGCACCAGTGTCTGTAAGTCTTTATCAAATGGATCCTGAGCTTTCTGCTCCTGAGGAATCACATTTCCAGGCACTGGACTACAGAGCCAGCATTGAAGAGGAACAATCTCCTTTCAGTGCCAACCTATCTGGCCAGTGAAGGGGATTTGATGACTTGCTGTGGGCTCTTTCAATATCCATCCATCAGTCCCAAGTTCCTTGCTCTCTTTCATCATCTAATACCACTGTTCATTCAGACTAGGATATTGAACAATTGTCTAGGTGGCCAGATCTTGTTGCACCATCGCTCAATTTTCCAAGATCAGCCTCCCAAGGAAGAATAGGTCTTCTGAGGCTTCTTGTCTCTCAGAGTCACTTTCTCTCAGAGGCTTTAGGATTGGGCTCTACTGATAAATGAGGGAAATCCTAGAACTGGCCCTGCCTTGGGGGCTTTGGCTACTTCCTACTTGAGAAGGGGAAATTTGGGGCTTTGAGGACAGATTCCCACCTCTGTGGATGTAAATACTGTATCTTCCTGCGTCAAGTAACCTGGATAACAATTGCAATTAACCAAATAACTCAAGAGGGAAGGAAACTATTCTTGCCTACTCAAATGGATGTTTGGGGACCTAAGTTATTCGGCAATTTTTCTCAATCCACGAATGTATCACTAATTGTCAGTGTAGCTCAGTCTGACATGAAATAAAAGTATTCTTATTTATATTCCAACAAAATAAGAAAAGTTATAACAAAGGGAAGATCATGGACTTATTTGGGTTTTTTGTTGTTGTTGTTCAGAAGCCAAGAGCTAGAAGAGACATTAAAAAGAGATTGAAGGCAGTGATTTTCCAAGCTTCCTTTTGGACACTGGAACTCTTTGTCATGTGAAATCTTAAATTGAAACTCCAGTTTATAAAATAGATAAAAATGGAGAAGTTCTGGCTATGGTAGTCAGTGGTGGACCAGCAGCCCCTTCTACTTGCCTCCCCTCCCCTCCCTGCTACCATAACAAAGAGGCTGTGCTGTAGAATCTTTGGGCTCCTGGGAACACAGCTTGAAAATTACTGATATAGTTCAACCCACCAAAGGAACAGATGAGGAAAGGGAAGCACAGAGAGTTTAATTATAGTTACAGTTTGTTCAAGATGAAGGTTGGTACTCCTGCCTCTTGGTACTCCTGCCTCTCCGTGCAATGTTCGTTCATGGTGACATTTAAATTTTGTTCTTGTGGTCTACTTCTATGTAACAAACCACCCCGAAATTTTGTGGCTTGAAAGAATGGCAATTATTTATTTATACAAATCTGTACTTGGGGCAGGCCTTGATGGGAATGACTTGTCTCTTTTCCATGATGTCAGGAGTCTTGACTGGGATAACTCAGAGGTTGGGGATGGCTGGGAATCTCTTTCTCTTCACATTGTCTCAGGGCCTCTTCATGGGGCCTCTCCACATGGTGTCTTCAACATAGCAGGCTCAGGGTAGTTGGACTTCTTACATGGAGGCTCAGGGTTCCAAGAGAGAAGGTTCTAGGAGGCCTGGACAGAACTACAAGGCTTCTTTTTGACCTATCCTGGAAAGTTCCAGAACTTAACTCCTACCACATCCTATTTGACACACAGGGTCCAGATGTGGGAGGGCACTACACACATGCAGGAATACTGGGAGAAGAAGGAAGCATCAGAGAGAGAGCTGCACCTTTGAAGCTAGCTACACAATTTCCTTACTCTTGGCATGACCTTACTGAAATCGATAGTGATATGATTTGTCTAGAAATAGAAAAGACAGAGGAGTCATTATGATTTTCCTTACATAATAGGAGCACTGTCATGTGGAAGAGAGATAGACTAGTTCTAGGAGACCACAGAAAGCTGACCCAGGACCAAAAAGTCATAATTACAAGGAAGATAGTTTTGGTTGACCATAAGGAAGAGCTTTCAAAGAAAACAGTCAACATGAGACTTGGCTACCTCTGTGAGGGAGTGCATTTCCACCTCACAAGAAAGGTCTCTGTCATTTCTTTTATTACTGAACATGTCTGATTCTCAGTGAAGACGATTAGTTGAGAAGCTGACATCTCCTGGAGCTTGTTGTTGTTATTAGTTAGTGTTGTGTCGATTCCAACTCATAGCCACCCATGTGTGCAAAGTAGAATTGCTTCATAGAGTTTTCCAGGCTGTGACCTTTTGGAAGCAGATTGCCAGGTCTGTCTTCCAAGGCACCTCTGAGTGGGTTTGAGCTGCCAAACTTTTTGTTAGTAGTTGAGTGCTTGACCATTTGCACCACCCAGGGACATCTCCACCCCACAAAGGAAGGATACTGAAGTACTATGTGCATTTCTAAGATTCAAGATTTCACATAAATCTAATTCTTGTTTGTTTGTCTTTTTTTGCCCCCCCCATTTTGGACATTTCCTTCATCTGACTGCCCATCAATATATAGAAGAAATGCTTATTCCTACTCCTATTACTTGTAAGTATCGAGCCCGGGTTAACTTTGCTTTGTGCCCTATAAGGGAACCTGTAGCATGCATTTTCTGCATCAACCAGTGTCTATTGGTTTCTCATATCCTCTTCTGTCTAAGTCATCCGTAGCCCAAAAGTTTTTATTTTGCATAGATGTTTTTCATTTGAAAATGCACTGTCATTGTTCCTATCTGTTGTGTTTCTGCCATCTTGGTCTGTTTCACCTCTGTGGTGTAATCTTCTTGTTAGGAATCTCCTAATTCCAGCAATGGATCCCATCTTTCTGCAGGACTTACCTAATACAACAGAATCACAGATCTCAGCAACTTCTGGGTCCATTTGTGTCTACTTGGGGAACTGGTAGCCCTGGGGGCTCAAGGGTTAGAAAGGAACTCATTGGCTGTTTCTACTGTTTCAGAAAGTCTACAGGGAATCATGACTTTATCTAGAACCAGCTTCACAGGTGACGGAAACATCCAAGTTCTTTGCTTTGGGCTGGAATTGTCTCAGTTTGTTATTTGACATTAGTTATCTCACGCTATCAGTGCATTACATTGGACGTTACAGATGGATGATTGCCTATCAATTTTTCTCACTTACTAAATAAAGGTGATTATTTTTCTCATTATCAAACCAGACATTTTCAAAACATGAGGGTAAAGTAGGAAAACTCCATAGAATAGAACCTCGGTGATGAAAAGTTAGAAAGCCATTGAATTAGTCCCATAGTCCTGATGTAGATTTTTCATGTTTGCAAATTGAGGTCCAGAGAGCTTATGTGAACTCATCACATACCCAGTTAGCAAAAGAGTAGGATTAAAACACAGAACACCTGTTCCTGTAAAGTGTATTGCCCACCACTGCGTGCCTTCTCCCACCCTTGGAGAACTCAGCCTTGTGAGAGAGGCCATCCTGACAGTGCGCATCTTCCAAAGCTTTCACAGGTGAAGATGGAGTCAGCAAAAGGCTGTGCCATCTGCTCTGCTCAGTGCTTGGGTCCAAACGCCTATAGGCCCAAGCAACGAGCAGAGAAGATTCTGGTACCACCACCCTTATGTTATGGACTCCCACTACCAACACTAGAAATACCAGAGAACTTGCTTCATTTCTTCATTCATCCATTTGAAAAACATGCATTGAACATGTCCATTATGTTTCAGACACTGGTGGAGAGATGACTAGAACTTTAAGACCAACACTCATGGTGCTCAAGCCTATCTGAGAGACTAGCATAAAATCAAATAATTGAAATATTGACTGAGAGGTACCTACACACACTGTGGTATAGGAGCACTTAGTTGAGTGACTAACATTTTAATGAGGCAGGGGATAGTTATCCATGTTTTTAGAGATGGCTTGACCCAGTACTGGAGAAATATGAAATCTGAGCAGAGGGAACAGCTTCTGCAAAGGCGTGGAGATGTGAGAAATATGGTGTGTTGTTGTTGTGATAGAAAGAGAATGAGCTTTAGGGGTCATCCAGCCCTGAGCTCAAGTCTCATCTCTAGTGCTCACCATCTATGCAGCCTTGAGCAAATTTTCTAAACTCTTTGAACCTCATTTCTCTTAACTCTAAGAAGTGAGTAAGAGTGACCAACTACGTAACTTACTTTGAAGAGGGATCGGGATGATTTTGTAAAGTGCCTGGCGCAAAGTTGGCACTCATGAAATGTCAGTTTTATTTCCATTTCCCTTTCAGAAATCATAAGGGGTTAGGGCAGTAGTGGTGGCCCCTGGGACTCTCTGGTCTGCCAGGGATTCTTATGGCATCAGTGTTCCACAGTGGGTATGGGCATGTTATGGAGGGGCAGGAACAATACCTTGAAGGAAGAGAACCTCAGCTAGAGTCCTGGCTCTGCTGCCTACACACCACACAGCCTTCAGCAAAGGATTTAACCTTCTAGAGCACTGCTTTTAGACCCAAGCAATGAGGGCACCGCTCTAATGCTTCTCTGGCTGCACAGTCTGCACCACAGCACAAGGAGTCTGTGGAGCCAAGAGGATAGGGTCTCCCTTCTAGACCATGCTCTGGGTATCCAGGACCCTGGAAGGCTCTGCTCAAACAGCAACAAGCCTGCATTAAGGCTCTTGGGCCCAAGGTGTGGCTGAGGGTCAGCTGTTTGCAGAGGGGTATGGAGAGAGCTTGGGCAGGAGGGCTGAGTGTGCACACACCTGTGTGTTGGGCCCCTATACAGTATGGAGCTGGGGGTGGGAGAGAAAGAAGGCAGGTCACAGTCCAGGGTCGTCCATTGTACTCTTTCCCCACACTCCACAAACCTTAGGGGAAGGCCACCTGCCAGAAATCCAGCTTCTTCACCTGTAAAATTGGGAGAGTGTCTGTTGGGCCCACCTTACCTGGATGATAATGACCATGAAGGGGTCTTGACAATGGAGAAGGACTCTTGTCCCAAAGGAGATGCCAGAATTACTAGAGACTCAACAGCCTTTGTAGCAGCATCAGGAGACCACGGAATGGAAAAGAGCAGTGGAGAGGCCACAATCCCGGGGCATAATTGTTTCTGTGAGCTAGTTCCAGTCCCTGTTCCTGCCTCCTGACTGCAGGTGCTAATCCTTGCACGGCTGCTGCAGTCATAGCAAATCTCTAGAACCATTTTTATCCAACCTCACAAATCAGGACTAAACAGCCTTCATTCTTTCACTTATCAAATGTTAACCGAATTATGCCAGGCCCTGGAGATAGAGCAGAAACCCAGCCATCATAGCCCAGGCCCTGTTGAAGCTTATATTTAAATGGTACAGCTATATGATAATCAAGTGAACAAGTGCATAAGGTAATTACCGATCCTGGTACTTGCCATGAAGGAAATGGAATCCCCAAGTGGCTGAAGTGTGTGCTGCAATGACCCATTGCACCCTCTGGCACCTCTCCCCCTAGTCTGTTATCCAGTGTCCACAGGACTGTGTTTGGAGACTCACTTTGTACCATTCACTGTGCTGGGCACAGGGGAAATCCAGGGTGAACAGTGCCGAGTGTAGTAGACAAAATGTGCACGTGCTTGTAGTTCAACGTGCCGTGGTAAACAAAGGTCTTTCAATTGGTGCAGACTTGGAGTCCTAGGTCACAGGTCCCCAGAGAGTGAAACTCATGGCTGCAGTGGAATGCAGAAGCTGCTGGATGAGACACAAGGTTTCCATAATAATATTCTTAATCTTATATTCACCAAGCCCCAAATCACCCGTGAGTGTCATATTTTGTATATCATCGTAGAGTAATTCTCTGTGATATTCTGTCTTCTATGGAGAAGCCTCAGGTAGTTAGACGTTCTCTTGAGCACCCTCCCTTCTGCCTGCAGGCTCCATCAAGCACCTGTGGTAGGACAGGAACCATCTCCTACAGTTAAGGTGACTGAAAAGATACGATGTGTGGCATCATCCTGCAGGAGGGGAGGAGGGGTGACTACCACTACATGGCAAGTGTTTTGTACATATATCCCCTCACTAAGTTCTCTTAATAGTCTGCTGGTCTGGTTGGTACCATTATCCCTATTTAATGGGGAGGAAATGAGCTCAGAGAAGGTAATTCATTCTCCAAAAAGCCACCTAGCAGTGGATAAGTGGAAGAGTGGATTATCTTGGAAATAGAGACATCTAGGGGAAGAAATGGTTTGGAGCAAAGAGGATGCAAATGACTCTGAATGTGTTGGGCTGAGAGTGCTGGCAGGGCTCCTGAGAAAAAGTGTCCTGTGAGAACTTGGAGACGCAGAGGTAGAGTACGGGAAGGAGTGGGTGTTTGGAGCCTTCCTTGGAGAGGTGACAGGTGAGAGTGTGGGGTGGATGAAATCAGGCCTGAGCAAAGAGTAGAAGAACAGAGGGCTAAGGACTGAGGTCCCAGAACTAACAATGGTTAAAAACTAAGAGGAGAAGAGGAACTGGCAAAGCTGACAGAGAGGGAGGAAGAGAACTCTAAGAGCCAAGGAGAGGAGGCCTTTGCAGAAGGAGAAATCATTTTGCTGCAGATGCTGCACAGGGAAGGAGGTGGAAGGTGTGGGCAAGGCCCTGGCATTTAGCCATCAGAGGTCACCTGTGCAGATCATAGGGGTGGGGGGAGGAAGCCAACCTGCATGGGGGCCATGAGGAGGAGCACCCCTTTTTAATCACTGGACCCTAAAACAGAGGAGAAACATGAGAATGGCCACTTGAAGGGTCAGGAAGTCTGGGGCACATGTATAGGTAAAGCAAACAAACCTGTGGCGAAAGAATATGCTGAAGATGCTGGAGGTGGAGGTGACCATGGAAGAGAAGGTCTGAAGGCGAAGTGTTCAGGGGCAGGGGCAGGGGCAGCCTAGGAGAAGAGGAGGGATAGGACTTGTGAGACTGTAGGATTAAGAGAGGGACATGGAGACAAAAGGGAAGGAACAAAAAGGAAATGATGGTCTCCATGGTCTCCAAGTTCAAAGCTCCACTCATCCGAGTGTGAGGTATAGATCCTGAGTGGATGCCTTAAACCCTCACTACTCAAAGTGTGATCCATGGACCAGCAGCATTAGCATCCCCTGGGATCTGGTTAGAAAGGCAGCATCTCAGACCCCATCCAGACCTCCTAAATCAGAATCTGCATTTTAACAAGATCTCCAGGTGATCCACGTGCACCTTAGAGTTTGAGAAGCACTGACTTAATCTGAGTCTCAGTTGTGTCATCCATAAAGTAGGAAACATCAGACCCTCCTTGAGCCACCTGGTCCCTCCAAAAGCTCCCAAAAGTTTTCATGAAAGAGAAAGCCTCCAACATACTTTGGCTGAACAATCTTTTCAATGAAATCCCTGTTTATTCATTTAACAAATATTTATGGAGTGCCCACTACAGGCCAACCACGGGTCAAGACTCTGGAGATAGCAGAGTTAGCACAACAGACACAAACCCCTGCCCCCATGGAGCTTTTGTGCTTAGGGAGATAGAAAATAAACAACATTTACAAGAAAAGCAAGTAGTATGTTATATAATGGTTACAGTGACAGAGAAAAAACAAATCAGAGAAAGGAGATATA